CGGAGGAGGCGCGAGGCGGGCGCGCACACGGGCGGACACACGCCCGGAGCCGCCTCGTCGGGGCTCGCCGCCTCTCCCAGCCGCTCCCCGAGCCGGCGGCGCAGCGCAGCGCCGGAGCAGGCGGCAGCGCGCGGAGCGGCGGCCACAAGGTAGGAACCGGCGGGCAAACTCTGCTGGGGCTTCAGTGGGAAGGGGGAGCCCGAAGTTGCCTCCGCGGCTCCGGGGCGGGGGCTGCGCAGGGAGGGCTCAGGCGCTGCCGCTCAGCTCCGCTCCCCGCAGATGTCGGCCGTGCTGGTGCTCGCCGCCTGGTGCTTCCTGCAAGCCGAGAGCCGGCGCGCCGAGAGCCTCGCCGGTGCCGGCAGCCGCGGCGATTTCCTCGACAACGACAAATGGCTGAGCACCGTCTCGCAGTACGACAGGGACAAGTACTGGAACAAATTCCGGGATGTAAGTAGCGCCCGCGCCCGCGGCGCCGCCACCGGTTGCTGCGGGACCCCGCACCGCACCTCAGCCCCGCGCAGCAACTCGGCGGCAAAAGTTTCCGCGCCTGCTGCTTGCGCTCATTGTGAGCCGTGCTCGTGGGGGTTTGGAAGAGGGCGTAGTGTTGCAAGAAGCTCTGCTTTGAGCCAGGGCTCTTCTGTTTTGCAGCGTCTAAACCGCGGTTAACTTTGAGAGCCGCTGTGGTTTGTGGCTGCGCAGGACAAACCGCTCGCTGGTTTTGTCCCCGAGGTGGGTGCAGCGTGAGGGGCTGCGCTGCATCCCCGTGGTCTGCGGGCAGCCGGGCACAGCGGGCGACAGCGGGGAGGAAACGCAGCCCTGATGGTGAACGCAGCCCACTTACCCACTTGGATATCGTGGGTATTTGTCTCTTAACAAATCCACTTAACGTTGCATCCAACTTTGAGAAGAGGGTCACAAGGTATCAGTGTTAAATGTAACCAATTTCTGCGTAGCTTTTATAGAGTAAACCGTATGAATTCTCCRTGATTCACTTTTTTTCAGGTTCATGCAGGTTATCTGATTTTTATGTATTTATTTTCCTAAAGAAATACTGTTCTCTGGCTTTCACATAAAACCTTAGATTTTTAATGTATTTGGTCATCTCAGTATCTGAAAAATTGCGCTGCCTGCAAGTCTCGATATAACAAAATATTGCCTTAGTGATGGTGCTGGCAGGTATGTGAGAACACACATCTGTGAGCAGTCACAATGGTGATGTCCACCTAATGGCCTTGCTGAGGTTCTCATATAATACGCTTCTGGAAATGCCTACATAGTCACAGTATTTTGTTAAGAGAATACTACAGCTAATAAGGGTTCACAGATTTTTACTAGGCTCCCAAGGAACCTTTGTGATTATCTGGTTTAGCCTCCTGAGGACTGCAAGCTAAAGATTTCACTTGGTAATTTCTAAGTCCGACTTGATATGACAACTTGATATAATTTAAAAATGTTAAATTAAATTTAAGGATTGACAAATCTATTTTTTTAATTAGGGCTAGATTTGTGGCAAGGGGCTCTCTAATCTTTTGACAGTCTATTTCCCAATTGAGACCTTGCATTAATATGTACTCTTTGAACTTTAAGTTATCATTTCATTTTATGCATTTTTTGAAGTCTGGAGTCCCTGCAGTTTCTCTTCCCATTCCCCTTTCTTTAGTTTCACAAGTATGAATGCAAGGACATTATCCCTGTGCCTATAGAAGATGTCTTCATCTGCTTGTAGAAGCAAGTTCTCCATCAAGCAGAAGCTAGAAGTATTAGATTTGTACAGAGGTCGGGTATCAAACCTAACTAGGTTAATGGTTCTATTTAATTACTTCAAAATCAATATGCTCTACAAGTGTATGATTATCCATCCTCATTTTATTTAGCGAATGAATAGCAGAAGCCTACAAACCTTTCTCAAAAATGAAAATATAAACTGCTTGCATGTGTAATCAGACTCCTAATAACTTGCTTTCATCCCGGGTGATGTTAGGGCATTGTAGTTTCCTGTGAGAGGTCCTGGGCGCATTCAGAGTTAATGGCTTCTACCCCCATCCCTGTGCAGTGTCAGATGTTTTTTAAGAATCGGCGCTTCCAAGGGCCATGGAAGAAACTGTTAGGTCTGGCAGAGGGCAACCTCTGGGAGAGAGAGGTGTCCCTGGGAGAAATGTGGTCCTTGCTTTGTGACAGCACTGGCTGGGGACACGCTACTAAAGCATTGGCGTAAAAACTCCTTAGTGAGGTGCAGCGTAACTTACAGTATTGGCTGTCCTATGTAGGGTAGGGTTGCATTTTCTTCCTCATAGTTGAACTGTGAGGAAATTATCTTCCCATCTGCCCTTTCCTCCTTTCCTGAACTGTGACTGCGCTATTATTGGATGGAATTCTCAGTTTAGGCTTTGCACACGTGGTCAGGGCAGTCAAGTTGGGTGTTGGAGCCAGTGTTTTCTTGGGCCTTGCACTACAGCTACAACAGAGGGGAAGCTCTAGCTTGCACTGTCAGTCAGCGGAAGCAGGATTGGAGTAATAGTCTTAAGTACCTTTAGTACCTCTAAATTTTATGTCATGTAATGTAAATAAAGTTGCACAGGTAGTTGTTTAGGCAGCTGTATCTGTGAGCACGACTGCAGGTTTGGAGCTGAGATTTGATTGCTATGGGAGAGGCTTTGTTAAACTACTTGTATGTGCATGTATGAATTTGTCATAAAGTTGCATTCCCCAAAGGCTTTTGTTTGTTTTATATGTGCGTATAGTGTATAAGTAAATGTAAAATTTGAAATTGGGCTTCCCTTGTCTTTATGGCCTGACTTGAGAAGACAGCTGTTGATTGTTTTTATCTGTGCTTGGGTTTTGGTATGATTCAGGTTTCTTTTGAGCCAAGACAGCCAAGTAGTTGCACACAGTGAGCCAACAWGCGTTACTCCCTGTAGAAAGAGAGCAGAGAAACACATCTTATCTCCAGTCTGTATTACAGGCACGTAATCTGACTAGTTTTTAAGCTGTCTGAATGTAATAGTGTGAAATGAYGACCTTTYAACATTTTCAGGCCTCTAGGAATTTAGGTAAAATGACACTCCRTAACACACTCTTTTCACATGATTTGAACATGATCTGTACAATGCTCAAGTACTTAAGTTTGAAAAAACAAGCAGAGCCTGTAAGTGAATAGTGTACCTAATGCAGTGGATTTGTTGTGAAGCATATGCTGCCACACTCTTGTTTTTTGCCCAGCATCAACACTGGGGGAATGTCAGATTAGTATGTTCTAAATATTCTGAAATTGGTATTTCTGTACGTCTTCCACCCTCTTTCCAGATTTGCTATGAYTGATATGTAACCAAAGAAACAAAAGTAAGGATTGTGTCCTACATCCCATTTTATAGTTGGGAATAATGGTATTTTYCTCCATCGCAAGCATTATTAAAGCTGTATATAAAAAGCAAAAGTGACTGAGATCTGTGGTAATATAGAATATTATTTTCCTAATCCAAATAAATAATGACTTGAACGCTCAAAAATCTAATGACCAGAGCTAGTCTGTTTTGTAAGCATATAAAAAAATAAAAACTAAGTTATTTCAAAGGGAAGGAACAACAGCTGTTTACTTGCACAGGTTTTAGGTTTGGAAAAGCAGGCAGCAGGGATATGGAAGCCACATTAGACRTTGTGATGTTATGGAGACAAATGTTAAGGCTCTGACTTTCGATCAAATCTATCAAGAGAGATCCTTTGGTTTAAGAGGAACTTGAGCACGAATGTGATGTCTGAATGTGAAGTCTTATAAGTCTTGGCAAGCATTTTTATGTGAATAGCCACCCATGTTATCCTACTAGGTCACGCTGCAGAATCTTGATGTGTTCCTAGAGGCTTGGCACGTAAGGCATAGAATAAGTCTTCTCTTAGTGTTAGGCCTGTCTTCTGTCTTTAATCAAAATTATATGAACAGACTAATTCTATTACTTCTGCTTGGAGTTATGTCTATTTTCATTATTAATGTTGATACATAAAATGGTAATAGGCTCAACTAGCTATGGATTAAATTGCAAAAAGCAGGGTAAAAAGTTAAATGAACTTAAAGAGTCTAGTATAAGCTGTACGCGGAAATTCTGCAAAACTGAAAGCGAAGAGTCTTGGCATGATCTCTGATTTCAATTCATGTTTATGCATGGCAGGTTGCCAGACGACGTTTTGAGCGTTAACTAAGCTGTTTCTCTAAATTTTATTGCTTATGGAGTTTCAGTTCAGGCAGTCATGTTAATTCCCCCGTGCCGTCTATGCCTGGAGATGTGTTGGAAACGTGCATGCCTAAGAAACAAGGCACAGAACGTCGTCATCTGCATGGATCARCTTCTCAGAGTTACTGCAGATAAACAGCCGTATGTAACTGAGCAGCATGATTAGTTATATGTATTTAGCTTCTTGAGTCGTAATGAAACTACCAGTCCCTGGTGTGGTTCAGCAAACAGACAATTTGATCAATTTTTCCTGTGTTATTATGTTTCTGTGTATTATCTTTCTGAGCCTCTTGAGTTCACCCCCTTGTGATGATCAGAAGAGTCCTAGGTAGAAAAGCGAGTACAYGACTAGGAACTGGGGGATCTGTATTTCTTCTTGCTTAGCCGTAGGTGAAGTGTTGGACTTGGGCCAGACTCTTCATGTTTCTGCCCCTGCTTTCCCCCTTGTTGCATGTGTCTGTCTCTGCTTTGTTTAGTCCAAAATTAGGAGTGTGATGGTGAAATTTGTTAGGAAAGACTTGGAAAACATGGCCCGTACTGAGGAGGATTGGAATATCAAGCAGGCAAAATCAGAATATCTTGAGAAATCGGACAACTCAAGAGAAATAAAATGAAATTTAAAAGTACMCAGTAGAAGGTCATAGAATTGAGAGTTAACAAGAATTTAATCTGGCAACCCTACTTGAAATGGATGAGAGGGAAAACCTGTGTACTCTTATTGATTTGCAGAGTTATTCTAAGTTATGAAAGTAATGCTACTCAGAAGAGAGCAAATATATTGTAGGAATGCACAAGATGAAAGATTTCTRATTCTGCCGAAGAAAAAAAATTAGCCAATGCGTGGGTGAGAATACTCAATAGAAATATTGTGAGTTCTGATCACCCAAGCTCAAGAAAGACAAACTTTACARAACTGGCACACCAAAGGGCTTCCCGCATTATAGGGGAAGACAGSAGATTTTAAGATATTGAACTAGACAAGTTTACTCACACAAAGCTAATAATGTAAGAGTGGTTTTGTTTCAGAAACTTATTGAGAGGGACAGCAAAAGCTGCTTGGCATGAGGTTGAGATCAAGAAATAAGTAGATACTGGGATTTTTTTGGAGCTAAGTCTGTTTGTGTAGACTGGATTCTTTCTGCTCTGTGCTCCCTGCAAGGGTACATGCTTTCCATGTGCATTTTCCTACCCAGGACTCTAAAACAATTTCAAGATACTGTCTGA